TGCTAATTCCAAAGCTGGTAGTAATGTATGCCAGTCATGTGTATGTCCATCTTTATCTGTGTAACAGAGTCCCTCAGTACAATACCTTCTGATGATTTCAGTTAAGGTACTAATATTCCTTTCACTGAGACCATCAGTCTGTGGATGGTACGCAGTGGAAAGAGCTAAAGTTGTTCCAATAAGTGTGTGTAGACTTTTCCAAAATTCAGAAGTAAATTTTGGGTCTCTGTCACTGATGATAATTCGTGGCAATCCTACATCACTTATTATTCTTTCCCAGAAAAGTAGTGCAATTTCCATTGCTGTTGCTTCTTTGTAGCATGGCAAGAACCTCGCTCTTTTTGAAAATCTGTCCACAATAACCAGTACACAGTTGTAATTATTGATTAATGATGGCGGAAGACCAGTAACAAAATCCATGTTAATGACTTCCCACGCGTAAGTTGGTTCTTCTATTCTTTGAAGTAACCCAAATCTTTTCCCTGTAGCTTTATTTGCTTTTTGACATCTTTCACAAGTCTTTACATATTCCTCAACATCTTGTCTCCAGTTTGGCCACCAAGCTGTGTTTTTGATTCTGTCTACTGTCCTGTCTTCTGATAGGTGTCCTGACATAAATTCATCATGGCATACGTGCAATGTTTGTTGAATGTGTTCAGTAGCTATTATTACCAAAACCGCTGTATGCTTTTCTCTAAAGTATATCAGGTCAGATTCGAGTGAAATTTTTCCTTGAGCTAATCCATCTTTCCAAGGTTGCTCAAGTGTGCTTGACAGCTTCAAATCAGTATTACGTGCAGACAATATCCTGGTAAGTTTAGCTGTGTTACTATTTTTTTCATAACTGGCTTTTACTTCATCAAAAAATTCTTCAGATAATTCACATAAACTAATTCCCATCACTGGAATGTCTCTTTCCATCTCTTCCGGTTCCCATGCTGGATTACTGGAATCATTTGGCAATGCCATTCTACTCAGTCCATCAGCATTGTTATGGAATTTCCTTGGTCTATGTGTAATTGTCATAAATGGTTTATACTCTTGTATTGCCATCATCCATCTCAACATGTGTCTACTTGGGGATTTGAGATTTGTTAGAGATCTCACTCCGGTACAATCTGTAAGTACTTCAAAGTAGCTACCATCAAGGTAGTAGTGTAATTTTTCTAATGCCCAAACTAGTGCTAAGGCTTCTAGTTGGGGTGAAGAGTATCTACTTTCAGTGTCTGTTAATTTTCTAGATATAAAGACAATTGGTCCTTCCTTTGGTTTTCCGTCAATTATTTGTGTTTGGTGGAGTGCTGCTCCTAGTCCTTCAATTGATGCGTCAACATAAAGTTTAAAAGGTTTCTCAAAGTCAGGGTGAAACAATATTGGTGCTGTTGTAAGTATTTGTTTTATCTTATTCACTGCGTCAATTCTTTCCTTTGTCATTTCAAAAACTACGCCCTTAGCATAAAGTTTGTAGAGGCTACGAGTAATGATTCCAAAGTTTGGAATGTGAGCTCTGTAGTAGCTTGTAAATCCTAAAAATGAACTCAACTCTTGTTTATCTTTTGGACAAGGTTTGTGTAGTATTGCTGCTACAGAGTTTTGGTCTACTGCTACCCATAGTCCTGATACACGATGGCCTAGGGCTTTACACTCCTCAAAACCAAAATGGCATTTCTTTAAAGATATTGTCATACCCATGGCTTTGGCTCGTAGTAATACTTTCTCCATTGCTTCTAGATGTTCTTTCCATGTAGTGTGAAAAACTATGATATCATCAATATATACTTTGAGCCATCCTTCCCTCAATTCTTTTGAAAATTCTGTATCCATCATTCTTTGAAAGAAAGCTGGAGCATTTTTTATTCCAAAAGGCATTCTTATATATTCAAAAATTCCTAAATGACAAATGATTCTGAGGAACTTTCTGCTACATATTTCCACGATGTTCTGGTGGAATCCTTTCATTATATCCATTAGAGTAATATGTTTTGCATTAAAAAGGTTAGTCAAGGATATCTATCAGGCTTGGTGTACTGGTTTAGAGCACGAAAATCTCCACAAAGCCTAGATTTATCATTGTGCCATGCTATCAAAACAGGTGAAGTTATATCTACTTCTTCATCACTACCAACTTTTCGTATTACACCCATACTAAGTAGTTCTTCAATATGTTTTTCTATTTCTTTTCTACTTCTTGGGCTAGCTGGATATGCACCTTTCCTTGGGATGGGAGGGTAAGGTTTGTCTATTGTGAGTTCTATTTTCACCGGATGGTTCTTAATAACTCCTAGAGGTTGCTCTCCCAAACCAAATTGATCTTTGTATTTGATTACCATTTGAATTATATCCTCTTTCTGACTATGAGTAAGATTGGGTCCAAACTCCGCTTCCAATATTTTCTCTCTAAGTTTTCTTGTATCTTCAGCTATTGAAGTTTCTTTTGAAATGTCCGGTTTAATTGACAAAATCTCTTTATGTTGCATCAGGGCAAATTTAATACTTTTGTTATTATTACCAATGGTAAAATATCTTTCTTTACTATGGAAGATGTCAAATCCGTATTGGCTCAAGTTCTCTGCACCTAAAATGAAATATTTATTGTTTGCATTCTCCATTACTACAAATTCAGCATTCAATCTGATTGATTGTTTAACATGTGGGAATATGATAGGTAAGCTTATTAGTCCTAGGGCGTGGAGTTTACTACCAACGCCTGAGAACTTCACATGGCTACTGGGCATAATTTTTTCTTGCCAGTCTGGAACAATTTCAGATAAGAAATGTTTTCCTACAATGGAGCATGATGCTCCGCTGTCTAGCAGTATAGGAACTTTACAGTTGTTTACTAAAGCTCTGGCCATCGCGTGATGTCCTAGTGTATGTGCCATTCCTTCTGCTGGTTTTGATTTCAGTAGTCTTGCATCTATTATGTTACCCATATGCATGTCCTCTTGCCATGAATGAGGTACATCTGCTTCTGCTTGTAATATATTGATGTCTTTTTCAGTATTCTTGTGGGTATCAATCATACATACATTTTGTTGCTGTTGGTTTGGATGATTTTCTTCCTCACTTTCTGAGCTTGACTCTCCTGAAAATTGGTCTCCTTGAAAGTCAAATTCATCATTCATATTATCACTCTCTTCACTGTTTTCCTCAATCATATTTATTTTCTTATCCTTACATCCTCTCCATTGATGTTTTGGGTCTTTACTTCCGCAATTTGGGCATGCTCTAGCAGGTTTCTTTTCTGATGTGCTTGGCTGGACTCTTGTACTAGAGGGACCTTGAATTTTATCATCTCTAAAGGCGCTTCTATTTTCAATAAAAGGTCTTCTTGGCTTACTCAAATATCTTTTCTTAGAGATAATGGTGGTATTTTCAAAAATGTCTTTGAACACCATTAAAAACATATCCCATTCATATGGTGTAGAAAGTTGGCTTTTAATTGCATTTCTAACATCACCATCAACCTTATTTAGGATTTTATTTACAATCCTGTCTTCAGAAGAGTCTGGGTCAAAGGCGGAAATCCTTTTTTTCTGTTTTAAGGACCACACTGTGGGGTCTGTGTGTATGTTCGCATCACCGCCAAGAAATTCACGTCGGAATGCCCTTTCCGATGTCACATCGGGGACGGTGTTCCGAAGCAGAGTCGGGGCCAAGGCGTCCGATAGAATCGATGTGCGATGTCTAATCAGATCCAGGTTGTTCGATGGGATCCTCAGTCCGACTGAGGAGTGGTTTGCCAGATCCGATGAAACTAAGTTCCGATCCCAAACTGCATTGGTGACGAGCGACTGAACCTCAGCCTGATGAGGTCCGATAGCTACTCGTATAGCGCTCATCCGACCCAAACAAATGTGCGATAAAATCATCGCATCGCATCCCCTCTGAGCAACTGAACATCGGGCCTTTTGTCCCGATTCAATCATTCTTGCGAGTTCATGTCGGTGTTTAACTCGTGATTCAATCCCCTAAATGCCCGATTCAATCTCACTTGCAAGGCAACTTCGGTGCCATCTTCGCGACACAATCCAAACGCAGCCGATGCAATTTGCGTAGGACCTATTTGGTCTCGAATCCACCCCAAAAATTGCCGAAAAATAATCCATAATCTTGATATTGCAATTCATTTTTTTGTTGTCTAGTTTTTTTTTCTGTCTTGCTTATTTCTTCGACTCAAAAAAACAGCAAGGGTTTTTCTGTACAAGCACCAAGTTTTGAGCTCTTCGAACGTCGAATCTCAAGTTCGAATATGAGAGGTCTGGGCTTCGAGCCTCAAAAGACCTCATCACAATGAGCTTTGAAGTTCGAACTTGCCCTTGGAGACTCAGCACGTAGCCACTCTTGGGAGTTTGAGTTCTTAGCTTCGGTGTTATGGAGAGTTTTTCGCATCACTCAGCATGTTCCAATGAGCGCTAAACTTATACTCATGAGGGCGCCTTTATCTACTGGCATTGGAGCGCCAGCTCGAATACTGCTGAGATCCCATATCCTTTGATGTTCAGCATGTATGCATCCTCAGATCTGAGGATGAATAGTCCACATGCGCGTCTCATTTTGTATAAGATAGGTTTCAAGTACTTTCTTATACAAAATTCCACGCGATCATCTTCACATTCAACAGTTTCTCGCTTCATCTCACTTTGATACCATTTATTAATTCATCCAGGCCAATCACCGAAGAAAGCAAAGCCTTGATTGAAGTATGAAAACGTTGGCTCTGATACCTTGTCACTGTACCGACTGTGAAAAAAACACCTACCAACATCCCCAGACCAATGCTAAAGTATATGGAACGCTCTGGAGACCTGCAAATCACAAAAAACATGTCAAGAGCTTCGGAGCACGCGCGACATGCACAGCACACAAAACCTCTTTATCCTCGGATTTTTCGGGTAGGTAGACATTCTCTCTTGTTAAGTTTTAATAATACTTGAGAGTCTGAGAGCAATCAGTTGATAGATACACGATCGCCATCACACGATGCCCAAAATGCCTCCATGGCAAGTTTGCCTCGTGCTTCTTCGAACTTAGAAACAACACCTTTCAATCGTAAAGCCACAGAAAGCCACTTCCAACCGTTATGGGATGGGCCAATCATAGATTCAAGTGGGTTCTTCTTGTCTCCAATAGCATTCTATCTTTATGTGAATTTTTGTTGAAGTTTTGAAATTTTTGACAAGCAGGCATATATAGTACAACACACTACGACACGTTTCGCCGTTGGAAGCCTTCTGACCTGGCTTACTTCCTTATGATCACATGTTTACACCTTATCAAAAACATCAGTGTGGAAGCTGCCACGCTTTGCTTGCATGTCATAGGTGCAGTCTCCGCCTTCAACACCGATAAAAAGTCTTCGCCAGCCATTTTACCAAAGGCTATGAGTACATTTCTTGATGGACTAAGGATTGAGCCAAAGATTCGCAGAACAGTGTGCTGCCCCAAATGCTTCAGGATGTACTATGGTGATAAGATTCCTACATTTTGCACGTCTCAAGTTACTCCCAGGAGCCGTGTATGTTCAGAGCAGCTTTTACACGAAGCAGGTATTCATGATGGGACAACCCCAAAAGCATGCCGGCTGTTTTCGACTGTATCCTTTACTGATTGGTTAGCTCGTTTTTTGAATCGACCTGGGATCGAGGATTTGCTGGAATGGAGAGACGACTATTTCGAAACGCAAGGTCCGATCATGAAGGATGTGCGGGACGCTTCAATGTGGCACTCGCTTCGTGGGGAAGATGGACAGCGGTTTACGTCCTCCTCCGGAAATCTGGTGTTTGCTTTGAATGTGGATTGGTTCAATGCAAATGGAAACAAGGCTGCATCAAAACAAATTTCTCTTGGAACTATTGCTTTAGTTTGTTTGAATCTGCCACCAGAGATCCGTTCATCTCAAGAGAACATATTTTTAGTAGGGCTGACCCCTGGTCCTTCCGAACCGGACGTAGAGCAAATGAACCATGTTCTGGCACCCTTAGTCCAAGAACTCAAGGTCCTATGGAAGGGTGTCAAGTTTTCTTCTACCGCCAAGTATCCCACGCATGGTAGAGTAATCCGTGCTATGCTAGGTCCCATTATCTGTGACCTTCCCGCAATACGAAAGGTTTTGGGAATGGCAGGCCATTCATCAAATCGACATGTTTGCTCACTGTGTCTGCTCGGAACAGACGACATACATCTATTACGAATTCCTAAAGAACGAAGACGATGCACGCATACACTTCGCGAACAGGCTTTGGCGTGGAGAGATGCAAAAACAAAAACACACCGGAAGGAAATCTTTGCTGAATATGGTGTGCGGTACTCCGTCCTATGGGAGCTTCCGTATTTTGATCCTCTTAGCCACACAATTGTAGAACCGATGCACAACATCTTTCTTGGTATCATCAAGAACCACGGCACGAGGGCTTTTGGAATGAAGTCCGACCCACAATCTGCTGAAGATCCAAGGAACGGGGATGCTAGCGATGTTGAAGACTCGGAGACGGAGACTGTAGCACCAGATGTGTATTGGAAGGATTGCTCTGTTGACGCAGCATCAGAAAACCCAGATACGGAACTACGATCATCATCTCCCCCTCCAACTCCAGGGTATCTATCAGCAGAGAGCAATGACAAATTGTTGTTTGCATTTGAAGAGATGAACTTAGAAAGTGATACTTGCTCTGCGACAGCGCCCCAGGATTATCAATCAACGCAAGAGCAGACAGAAAGCTTTTTAGAAGACGACGCATTTGATGAAGATCTCTCTGACTTGGAAGATGCTTATGAAGATGAACTCGGTTGGAAATTTTTTGATGATCCTCAGAACCTAGCTACATTGCAAGATATCACAAGAAATATAAACCTTCCTTCCTGGGTTGGACGCGTGCCTAGCACTGTAGGGACACGGAAGGGCGGGAAATTGAAGGCAGATGAATGGGTCGTTCTCTTCCAGGTCATGATGATTCCTGCGATAATTTCTGTCTTGGACAAAGACCAGGGTGCTACAGACTTCACGGAACAGCCCAGAAAATGTTATGTTTCTTGTAGTGTAAGTGTATTGAACATTGTTAGGAGATTGGAACTGAATGAGCGCGACATTGGATCCCTCCGATACCATCTGCGAAGCTATCGAAATGGGTATTCCAAACTTTATAGTTCACTTCCCGTCCTGCCTAATCATCACATGGCGCTTCATCTTCCTGAATGTATCCAACGGTTTGGGCCCGCGCCTTTCTGGAGTGCATGGTCGTTTGAGAGACTTAATGGTAAATTGGCTAAAATACCGAATAATAATCATCCTAGTAAGTTCATAATATCGACTAAATAAAAGATTGTGTCTGCACTGACAAAAGTATGGCAGATTCCCGTGAATTGACAAGACTCAGGAAGTTTACCTTGGAGCAAAACCTGCGCCCAGTTGTCAAAATCTTATGTGAATCTCTTCCAAGAGACATTGCTACGAGGATTTTGAAGTTCTTGGAGCCCAGTGGTACACCACGAGGCAGTACCTCCGGATACGACGCTCGAACAGGCATCCCTGAACATGCGGAGCCTGTCTATCACTACGACGAAAAAAAAGCCGAGACCCTGGATTACGACACCCATGAGAACCTGGCACGCCGTATGAAAGAGTTGGGATGCGGGGATGTTGTTGTGGCTAGCCGGATTTTTAGAACACCGCTTCCTCCACCCCATCTCATATTGCTAGGACGGATGGTGAACCAAAGAAAAATGGTAAAGCATGGCGACATATCCTACTCAACTTGGGAGCATCACCAGGGGAACAGTATTGTTATGTATCAGTCTAAAGATGGGCGCCGCCCAATGGCATATCGGTGGGGCCGAATCAATGAGATATTTATCACGAATCCGGGGTCGCAAGGCAATCTAAAGGCGCAGCTATGGTTCGAAGTCCTCCGATTCTCCAATTTGAGAACTGCTGAGAAAGCCAAGCATGGTCTTGATAATTGGCCAAATGCGAGAATGACTGTTGTGTACACCTCCGCAAAAAAAAAGGATCTGGTGCGGGTAGATGAGCTTGTTGCTCAAGGGGCAGCTTGGGATACCCCAGAAGGATGCTTCGGAATTAAGCAGCCAACCACACTGATTATAAATTTGAGCAAACTTCCTGATCTTCATAATCTATGGGCCACTTGATAGACTTTCTTTTCTGATCTTTTGTTAGTTGAAATGTATTTTATTATCTTTACAAGACATCTGAAAGTGATGCTTGATTCGTTTATATATGCAAGCAATGAAGAACTACGTAAAGGTTCAAAGCCTCAAGTTTTGCTAGGTAAGACACCCTGTTCCTACTTGCAACACCTCATGAGTGCTTACGCTCCGATGCTTGACTCTCATAGACAACGCAGATTCGAAGCAGGATCATTCTGCTTTGAAATTGTCTAGTAGACACTACAATTTGGAGATAGGATGATCTTACTTCGAACTTACGTATTAGACATGTAAGTTCGAATGTTTGAACTAGGATGATCCTACTTCGAAGGTAATACTAGACACCGCAGGATGTAAGGTTCTGGGTATGATAATCCTACTCAGAGCTTCAGGAGTTTTAAAATATCGATCGAAATAATACGAATCGAGATATCTCAAGCTAGAGCATCAAGTGAATTTGAAGCTCTTCATGGGCGGGAAGATCATTTGGGCCAAGAGATGAGCAAAACGCCGATTCTGAAGAGACTCGTGCAATAGGCAAACTGTTGAAGATAATCTCTAGGCAAACTGATGACAGAGAGATAATCTCGAGCCGCATTGATGAAAACATTCAACAGTCCTTAGTGACCGGATCAAGCCGGATTGAGACAGATCAGGCAATGGAGCAGGTTCTGGACTGTGTCAGTCTTGCCGATCTCAACTTCGCAAGCAGTATTCACTTCATCAATAAGGGCCTTCAATTCGGTACGTAAAGTAAACAAAATTGTCGAATCATCTGTAATCGACTTAGACTCCATACCAGAGTGCAAAGTCTTCAACTCCAGATGATACGCCGAGTAAAATTCGCCTCATCCATGGTGGAACGTGGATCGAGAGTTTTCCGAGAGCTTCAAGAAGAAGTCATAACCTCACAGGGATAACACATTAGTAATAAAAGCAAAGTAGGTGATAGGAGGCCCGTTTAGCAAAGGTAGTATGCAAAAGGTAAAGGGTAAAGACCAACTTCAAACCATGTAAGCAGCAAACATCCGGACGTAGCCGGGAAAATGCACGTCCAATATTGAGTAACCGCGCCTGTGCCTCCATTATACAGAAATTCTAAAGCCGCGATGAGATAAGAAAAACATTAAAATCAAAAAGAAACCCTGACGAGAAAGGCGACGAGGCATAAAAAAATTGTAAGGGCTTGTTACTATTATGTAGTCAAAATGTGTTTTACATCTTCAGGAGTCATCTAAGGTATACTCGATTTGTTTGTACATACAACCGAAAATGATGAAGCTATAGCTATGTAAAAGTTCAAAGGCTCCTGTAATGATTGGTTAGAAACCCTGCCCCAACTTGTGACAGCTCATAAGTGCCTTGTATCAAACACTCAGACAGATCCTCAAGCATTGTAGACATCGTAGATTCGAAGTGGGATGAAGATCAGGTTTCGACGGGAACTCATCATAAATTATGGACAAGACAATGATAGTCGAAAGGTACTAGCGTATGCAGCAGGTGAATAATTCTGGTGAAGAATAAAACTCCCCTTCAAACCGGAAACACAGTAAACATAACATACCTTCATACGGTGTGAACTCTCTCGTGTCACGCGTTTTTGCTTGACATGATTGCAGGGAGGACCACAGGATAATGTGGATTCTTTATACAATGACTTTTCTTGTGAAATGAGGGAGGTCTCAAGCGTAGATGGATGAATTATGCAATCCAAGATATCTCTGTTAAATTTTATAACATACTACATCTTTACTTGCAAAGGTACAAGTTCGAATTAGAACAGTCTGGCTTCCATGCATCAGAAGTAGTCACATCTCTAACATTTTACGACCAACATTGCGAAGTGCGTATAGTTGCCCTTGTTATTGATGGTCTTGAACCAATCACGCGTTTGCTAACTCTGACACGTGTAGCTTGACGTAGACATCAAAAAAACCCTGTAGAACGCTGAGCGTGAATACGCACTGAGTCATTTGAAAGCTTACTATTGCATATTTTCGATTACTCAGGGAGGATGCGCAGAGTCGACTTTGGAATTTCGTAGAATACATATTTAATTTAGGATGAGCAAGGTTCAAAATGCTTATGTGTTAAATCTTAGCTTTTGACTGTCGACACCTTTGCCACACGTATAAACTAGCCGTGTCTTCGTCGTCTTTGTTCCCCTCACCAATTCCTCAATCCAATCCAATTCATAATCCCCTCTCTCGATTTTTCTTTCCAAAAATCCTCTTCCAAATCAAAGAGTACTTCCTCGCATCTTTTTCGTTCCCAAATCCCTTGTTCGAACTTCGAACTTCAACATTCATCATACTTTTTTCGTTTCGTTCCTAAATCCCTAGTCCGACTCTCTCACTTTTCACTTAGATGGAACATTCAAAATCCCTTACTCCAGACGAGGAATCTCACATCCCGGGTACTATTATAGAAATCAAATCTAAATCCCCTCGATCGGTTCGTTGCGAGACCGAGCCGGACGAGGCTTTAATCGGGAAACACAAGTACTCGAAGGTGTACGAGTTTGCCAATCCTTGTTCAAGATGCGCCAATACTGGTCGTACCTGTGTAACTAGTGGCACGAAATCCGTCAAGTGCGAGTGGTGCAGGGTTTCGAAGATACCTTGTGACGCCCATGGAGTGGAAACTTTCCAATTCCACTGGCTGCGAAATGGAGCCCTCTTTCCTGATTCGAGATTCGACACCAAGACTAAAGCATCAAGCACTGATCTCCCTGACGAAATCTCCCTGTTGGATCCGGAAGACGAAGCTAGGGTTGATGATTGGTCAACAAGGACACAAGGTAGGTGATGCTTGCTCCATTGCGTCTGCTTGGAGATGCGTGTTCGAACTGACAAGTGTTTCTTCATAGATGTCAATCCTCTCGATCCCAGTCCACTGCAAAAATTTCGGTGTGGAGATACCTTTGGCTAGGAAATCGGGGTCAAGAATCATACAGGATGATATAAGGGCCGACCAATATCTTCAACGTGTAATGGGATGGCGACGAAGCTCTGAGGCACCACCCTTCCGCCCCTTGGGCTTCAATACGATGCCTGTTGAGGAGAGCCCGGACCCATCGAACAAGAGACCTAACCAGGATTCCGCTAGATCTGACGACGAAGAAGATCAACCCACACGAAAAATCAGAGTCAAGCTTCGAAACCCCCCAAGGGTGGAGGACGACGAGCCCTCATCCCCTACTGCTCATTCGATGCCTCGAACTTCCCATCCACAGGCCTCTCAACTCTCCTCGGCTCCGGCTCAATCCCTCCCTCCGCCTTTGATCGGACGTGCTATCTCACCAGTCGCTGCGCCCCCTCTTTCGAACCTCGCAAGTCGCCGCGCTTCACATGCTACTCCTACACCCTCGAACGTAGGGTCGAATAAAAATGCTTCTTCTCAGCCTCCGCACTCCCGTCAAAGCCCTGTAATTCTTGAAAGTTCTCCACCCCCTACTTCGCCAGACACCTCAAAAAATCCTTTATCTCAACTTTCTTCAACATTGGAAAGCGAGAGACGAACCAACGAACAACTCCAATATCCAGGTGATGATCAGAGAAGAGGCGATGGACAAGTCAATCCAGATGAAGCTGTGAGATCCAGTGGAAAACATGGACAAGCCGGAAATCATCATACGAGATTGAACAAGGCAGTAGGAGCTCCTGGAAATGAATTAGAGCGCCAATTTTCTCTTGCACCCGAATTTTCACACGGCGGAAACCAGCAGCCCGAAAATGCTCAGAAAGATCGGGGCGATGAGATGGATTCAGATGATAGCTCTGTAGACTGGGGTGTAGTCGAGCCCAACAATTTTGATGGTAACATGGTGGCGGAGCAGATGAAGAAGGTAGCAAAAGATATGGAGAAATTCATGGCGAGCAAAATGTTGGAAATTGCTGCTTTGATACCAGCCGGTCATAACTTTAATAATTTCATTGCTATGCGTAAATCAATACAAGATAAGTGGAAAGTATATAAGGAAACGGTAAATGAGGCTGTCAAGCCTTTACAAAAATTATAAATTAATGTTTTTCTTTCTATTTACTTGCTTTGACAAAAAATATTGCTTACAAAAATAATAAATTCTATTTTTCTTTCTATTTACTTGCTTCGACGAAAAATGTTGCTTACAAAAATTACGAATTGTATCTGTCTTTCTATTTACTTGCTTTGACAAAAAATATTGCTTTCAAAAATAATAAATTCTATCTTTCTTTCTATTTACTTGCTTTGACGAAAAATGTTGCTTACAAAAATTACAAATTGTATCTTTCCTTCTATTTACTTGCTTTGACAAAAAACTTTGGCGGCCCGTATACTTCTATCTTTGTTCCTTTCGAAGTCTCGAAATCAAGTTCCTGGATGTAATGTGTCCAAAGGATATAATTTTATGCCCTTGAGCGATGACACGGATTGGTGCAGATCTGCCCAAATGAATGACAGGAGAGCATTCCATCCACGGGATGATGGATGTAAGATATATAAGTTTGATGTTGAATTTCAACTTGTATCTACTTGCGCTTCTTTGAGAATTCGAACTTTGAACATCGACATCAAGTTCGAGTTCGATGAGCTTTGAGCTTCAAGCTTCAAGCTTCGATTTCAAATGCTTCACTGCCCCATCGCACCG